CTCTTCCCCTCCGCTCCCCCTGAAGGCGGGTCGCCTGTCGTCGCTGGGCCACGCCGCGTGCAGCTCGAGCTGCCTCGCCGACATGCGCGCCGCCTCTCCCCCGCGCGCCCGCGCGCACGGCTCTTCCTCCGACGACGCGCTGCTGCGGCATTCCGCGGGGGCAGAGGAGGCGGACGGCGCGGAGGCGGGGGTGCTGCGCGAAGGGGAGGAGGGCGCGGATGGCGCGGAGGGGGTGGTGGCGGTGGGGGATGGCGTGGTGGTGGACGTGGAGAGAGTGCGGCAGGCGCAGTACGACGCGTGGCTGGTAACGCGCAGAGGGCGGGGTCGGGGGAAGAGGGACCGGTTGAAGCGGGAGGGAGGGACTGAGGGGAGAGGGATAAATGGGATTGGGAGGGGGGGTACTTACCTTCCAATGCTGTTACGCCAGCTACCGCGTTTCGCGCTCACATACTCTCCTCTCCTCACAATGCTTTCGCCCCCCTCCTCACTCTCTCTTCCCTCCCCTCCCGGTTTCCAAACCCTCCCATCCCGTCCACCAATTGCCCTCCTCGCCGTGCGTCCTTCGTCACGTCGCCCTCACTGTACGCTGTACGCATACACCTATCCCCCATTCACCCGCCCTCTTCCGCCCCCCTCTCCGCCACATAATCCCGCCTCCCCCCACACACCCCCCACTTCCCACCTCCTGCGCACCTTCCCGCGCCGCCCACAGGAGAAGCACCCATCGGCGGTGGCGCAGTTCTGGGCGGTGGCGCGCGAGATGGGCGCGCGGCAGGTGGCGCTGTTCCTCGACTACGACGGCACGCTCGCGCCCATCGTTGACAACCCCGACCGCGCCTTCATGCCGCCCGGGGTCAGCCGTGGGGGGAGGGTCGCGCAGGGGGAGGGAGAGGGGATGCGGGGGGGAGTCTGTGGGAGTTTAGGGGCAGGGATGTGTGAGGGGAGGGGGAGGGAGTGAGATTGTGTTGTTCAGAGGGATGTGAAGGAAATGAGTTGGAGTGTGAGTCCACTCGCTCTTGCGTGCCGTGGTGGGCGGGTGGGGAGCGTGGGGAGGGGGACGAAGATACACATGCAGTAGAGGGGTTGTGCAGTGCGACGGGGGGCGGGGGGGGTGTGGGGGGGTAAGTTTAACAGGGGGGTTCCAGACCAATGCTGTGAGAGTGAGGGTACGTTTCTATCTCGTGTCAGACATCAAGTCATGCGGCCTTAGTCTCCAATTTGTCTCTTCCGAACTTCCAATCGCCCCAAAAACGAGCCGCTTCGGGTCTTCCGAACCTCCACTTTGTGTCAAACCTAATGTCTGACACGGGATAGAAACGTGCCCTGAGTCCCATGCACACCTCTATACGGTATACCTGCACCTGTTCACGCGCATGCATGCACTGATGGGGTGCGCAAGGCTCAAATTCTCCCTGCTTTTCCTCCGCCTCGCTCACCCCCCTCCGCTCGTCCCTGCTTCTCTCGCTCCCACCTCTTTCCCCTCCCCAACTCCCCCGCTCCCCTTTTCGCTTCCTCCCCTTGCTGCCCACCCCGCATGGCGCGGCATGGGTGCAGATGAGAGCAGCGGTGCAGCAGGCAGCGCTGCACTTCCCCACGGCCATCATCAGTGGGCGCGGCAGGGAGAAGGTGTTTGAGTTCGTTCAGCTGCCCGAGCTGTACTACGCGGGCAGCCACGGCATGGACATCATGCTGCCCGCACACACGCCCTCCGCCGCCGCCCCTGCCTCTGCGTCTGCGCCCGATGCGCCTGGTGATGGGCGGCAGGGAAATGGCGCACTGGGCGTGACTATTAAGGGCGACAGGTGCACAGATGCGCATGTGAGCTGACTGCCGTGGTGGGATGGGGGACGAGGACGGGGCTTGGGAATGGGCCAAGGGTGAGGCCCGGATGGGATGTGGGATGGTGATTGGGATGGTGAGTGAGTGGTGTGGGTGGGTTGTCCCGGTGGGTGGAGGGTTAAGGGAAAGGGCGGATGTGTAGTTAGTGAGCAAGAGCATTGGAGCATGCCCGGGGCATCCTTCAAGGTAGCAGCCTCCAAACAATTCCCCTCACCCACACCTCGTGGGAATCCATCGCTTCCTGAGTTGCTCCCATGAACTCTCTGCTCCCCTCCTCTCTCTGCTCTGCGCCCATCCTCTGTCTGGCGCCTCTCTTTCGCCTCTGCCCATCCCCACGCCACCCGCCACCAGAACCACGAGGTGGTGGTGTTCCAGCCTGCCAGCGAGTTCGCAGAGCTCATGGATCAGGTGCGCCGCCTCTTCCACTCCATCCGCTGCTGCCTTAGCCCTCTGCTCCCCCCTGCTCCCACCTCTTCCTGTTTCTGCTCCAGCCCACAGTCGACAGCCCACAACCCACAGCCTGCAGTCCCCATTGGTCGGTCGATTACTTACTGTTCCTTGCTTCTCTGCGTTGTACTCAACCCTGCATCTTACTCTCGGCACGGCACGCGTGTGCGTGGTGGTGGTGGTGGTGATGCTGGTGGGGCGCATGGCAGGTGTACACAGAACTGGTGCGCGTGACAGCAGGCGTGGCGGGGTCACTAGTGGAGAACAACAAGTTTGCCGTCACCGTGCACTTCAGACGCGTGGCGGAGGAGGTGCGTGCTGCACCACTGCACCCTGCACCCAGGGGCCCATGTGCGACATCGCATGGAGGGGAAGATGGACAGAAAGGGGTGGCAAAGGGAGGGAGGGGGGAAGGGGGGTTTGGATCTGGGCGTATGGAGGGAGAACGATTGGGAGAAGGACGGAGTGAGGAATGGCAGTATTGTGAGGGAGAGTTGGAAAGAGAGACTTAGGACGAGCAAGAGTGGTAAGAATGGGGGTGTCGGGGAAGGTGCTTTGTGATGACAGTGCGGGCAGCTGAATCAGGGAGACCTCGAAACAAATTATAATAAACTTCACCGTGGACTCTCGCTTCTTCCCCGCTCCTCACAGTGCTGGGAGCATCTGGCAGGGCTGGTGGAGCAGGTAGTGCAGCAGCACCCGCGCCTGTGTCTCTCACACGGCAGAAAGGTGACAAGCGGAAGGCCACACAAGCGACCGCGTGAAAACGCTGCAATTCCGTCCTTGATTTACTTGGACTTGCGTGCACTTGTCACTTGTGACAGCCATCCCTGATGCCTCCGTTGTCCGGGTCTCATGTGCTTGATTCTCCATGCTCGTGTGACGTGTCTATGCCCATGGCCACGTGTGCTTGTTCGACGCACATGGCAGGTGTTTGAGGTGCGCCCTGTGGTGGACTGGGACAAGGGCAAGGCCGTGCAGTACCTTCTCACCACACTTGGTGCGATGCCACTCCCATGCCATGCCATGTTTGCCCTGATGCCATGCCGACACTACTGTGTGAACATTATGCATCAATACGGTATCCCCTATCCTGTCTACATCATGCTAGTAAGTCTATGCACATGTGCTGCAGTCACGTGCATATGCTGTTGTGCGCATACCGCGCAAAATGAATCATACGCATCTGCATACCCACTCTCTCTCTCTCTTTTACACAATCCTCTTCCGCCCCTCCCTCCATTCCGGGTGGTATCGACTAGGCCTCAACAACTCATCTGCAGTCGTGCCAGTGTACATTGGGGACGACCGGACAGATGAGGATGCATTTCAGGTAGAGCTGGGGGGAAGGGAGGGAACATACACTGGTTCCATGGGGCGTGCCCATTGATGGAAAGGTTCCAATACTTTTGCAGAGCATGTTCTGCTGTTCTCACCGGCTGCATGGGTTCCTTCACCCCATTAACCTACCTCATTTTCGTTTCCTTATCAACTGATGCCATGGTTTGCTAAGAGCAGATGCTCCAGGCGAGGGGTTCAGGCATAGGCATCATCGTATCAGCTGCTGTGAAATCGTCTGTGGCTTCTTATTCTTTGCGAGACCCGTCCGAGGTACTGTTCTGCTTTTGTCTCCAACTATCCTCCTCTGCCATTCTTTTACCGACTGTCTTTGTTTGTTTTTCTGCTAGTTGCACTTCCAATCGCGTTTGCCTTTCATAGTACAGCGTTGGATCTTGACTATCATGCTGTATGGATGGATATAGCTTGCAAATTCGTTTAACCATCAATCGGTCTGTTTCAGGTTCTGGATTTCCTCGTTAAACTAGTCCGTTGGAAGGAGCATGGGGATTCTCTTAGATAATATAGACAGGAGAGTAAAACTCTAGGTTTTTTTGCACAATGAACTTCTCATTGTTTTGTTCCTTTCTTTTTTTGCTCTGTTGAGGATAGTTCATAGTATGTACCGTATCCATGGTCACTCTGTTACGTACTATTCTCCAGTACAAAGGCTCGCTGCTGTTGGTATACACTTTGGGATGTACGCAATCGGGCAATAAGAGGAATTACGCCTCGCCGCTTCCAGCAAAGGGCAACCAGAAATCCACCTCAGTTGTAGTGTTGGCTGCCAGCAACTCAAATATCATCATTTCTTGAACTGCGTGGCATATGCTGAAGGGGCAACAGCAGGTGTCCTAATCAGATTCCGAAGAACCGGTGTGGAAGCTTCACAGATTGGATGGACTTGTCGGTGCTGCGAGGATTTCTGTCTGTACACCGCTTGCCCTTCTCAAGGGTCGCGTGACGGGTGCTTGGCTTTTCCCAAGGTCCGACCCCCCGCCAAGCTCAGGGGTCATCATGTCCAGTGAGAATTGAATGTGGTGCGATGCGAACACCATGCTGCTGCCGCGGGTGTGTACATACTAAACACAAGGCAGTCATACGCCAACATTCTGGAGTTGCATATCAGGTCAGGTCCCTGAATTGCTCTGCTTTCTCCCTTCTGCGGTGGCAGAGCCTCGGTAATTTCCGTCAGCCTAGTAACCTTGCAACACGGTGCTTCGAATTCCCGAAGCAGTTGCGTGATATTGTATTGCTGCGGAAACTGCTTAGCAATGGCCGTCTCTCGCCGAGCTTTTCAGGTACGTCGTGTAACACTCGCTTCCGCAGAACGTGGACTCAACGGTGCTATTCGGAAAGCGGTATCTGAACGTCGTTTTTCCTGAGCAGAAGTTCTTCCTCAATGGCGCCTTACGCCCACTTGTATCCCTCTCAAGCGCGTCTTCGACCATCAATCCTCTCGATGTGCCGATTGCACCTAAACAATCACCCACCGTACCGCACTATATGAACAATTCGACACACTCCAACTTTGGAACGCGAGGAATGGTCACTCCTGGAGTCGTGAGCAAGCTTAGTGGCGTCAAGGTGCCTATCTCCACAGCACCTGTTCATACCGCGACGGAACCCAAACACGACATGTTTTGCTATCAATGCGAACAGACACGGGTGGGTTTTCTGGGACCAAACAAGGCAACCTTTCTGTATAAAGTTGCGTTCTTTGTTGATATCGTTTGGTAACTCGTGCAATTTACGAGCTTTCAGGACGGTAAGGGATGCATGACTGTGGGTGTCTGCGGCAAGGATCCTGAGGCCGCTGCGCTTCAAGACCTCCTTATTCACTCTCTGAAGGGTAAGAAGTTTCGCTGTCTACCCTTGGATCGCGTCTGTCAGAAATCTAATGTATGTTTTATCCTTTGCAGGATTGGCTCAGTATGCTACTCGTGCGCGTGAGTTGGGTCTTGAGGTCGGTGCCGAGGTGGATTTGTAAGTTGAATTTGTCGTAACGCTATTGAGTCTGTCCCCGTTAGAGACACGATTCTAATGGTTTAGCTTTGCAATTGCAGTTTTGTGCAGGAAGCGGTTTTCTCAACGCTCACAAATGTGAACTTTGACTCAGCCGCACTTCAGCAATTCGTCACGGAGGCAATTCGTCACCGCGATGCTCTCAGGTAATGTGGTTGACAATGCACCATGTCTGGGATGCGAGAACCTCTTTGAAGTAACGTCAAATCCCTGTAATGTTAATGCAGGGCGAAGTATTTGGGTGCTGGTGGGAAAGAGGACTCTGCCTTGAAAACTCATCAAGCCACTTTTGAGCTCGGTGGATCGCTTGATGACATTGTGGAACAGGGACGCGGAGTAGGCGTTGAGACACGTCGTGCGGGATGGGATGAAGATATTTTCAGCCTGCAAGAGCTGTTGGTGTATGGTTTGAAGGGAACTGCTGCGTACTCGGCTCATGCATATGCAGTGGGAAAGGTATGATAAAAAATCCGTTCCATTTCCGTGTATCCAAAATCGTTGCGTAGTCCTCACTGTTTCGTTCTCTTGAACCTGTGAGTCTACAGCGTGATACGAAGATTTCCGACTTCATCTACGAGGCGTTTGATTACATTTCACGGCCAGCTGACCAGCAGACGGCTGAAGGCCTTCTTGGCCTTGCCCTCAAGTGTGGGGAGACAAACCTTCATGCAATGGAGATTCTTAATGAGGGCCATTGCGAGAGCTTCGGCACCCCAGAGCCTACTGTCGTGAGTGAAATTATGCTCTCTTGTATCTGTAAGCTGCTCATGCATTGCACGCTAACGTCTAGAAATCCCCTTTCAGGTCCGGACTTCTCCTGTCAAGGGAAAATGCATCTTAGTATCAGGTCATGACATCAAGGACCTTTACGAACTGCTTAAGGCAACAGAAGGAAAGGGCATCAACGTGTACACGCACGGGGAGCTGCTGCCTGCCCATGGCTATCCCGAACTGAGGAAGTTTAAGCACCTTATTGGCAACTATGGTGGCGCTTGGCAGCTGCAGAAGATTGAATTCGCTGCTTTTCCTGGTCCGATCCTAGTTACCACAAACTGTCTCTTGGAGCCGAAGCCAAGCTACGCTAATCGCATTTACTCGGCAAATGCTGCTGGGTGAGGACCTTTCAAGTTTTGTTATACTTTGCATTCAGTGCCCAAGTCAAGCAATTTCGCTAAGCGTGGTTGTCTTTCTTTCCAGGCACAAGAAAGTCCAGCACATTGATGGACGACGGTTCGACCCAATCATCAAACAGGCACTAGAGATGGAAGGATTCGTTGCTGAGGCCCCTGAACGCACGGTTATGACAGGTTTCGGCCATGCTGCCGTTCTGAAAGCCGCTGATGTCGTCATTGATGGTATCAAGGATGGACGCATCAGCCACCTCTTCCTGATTGGTGGCTGTGATGGATGGGAAGGCGAGCGCTCTTACTTCCGTGATCTTGCACTCTCTCTGCCACAGGTAAGGATGGTTGTGTCGAGTTTGTCATAATTAGCCAGTGACGATCTGCTAACTTCTTCTCATGATTCATTCAGGATGCTGTGGTTCTGACTCTAGCCTGTGGAAAGTACCGCTTCAACCATCAGCAGCAGCAGTTTGGCAACATCACTGGTACCCAAATTCCTAGGCTAATGGATGTTGGCCAGTGCAACGATGCGTACTCGGCCATCCGCATTGCTTCTGCATTGGCCCAGGCATTCAACACTGATGTCAACAGTCTTCCCCTCTCCTTGGTCATTTCCTGGTTCGAGCAGAAGGCTGTAGCTGTGAGTTTGAATAGCATAAGCATCTGCTCAGACGGGCAAACATCCTTTTCCTGACAATTTGCATGGCGTCTGTGCTTGCAGGTACTGCTTACCCTTCTTCATCTGAACATTCAAAACATCCGCATTGGCCCCAAGCTTCCCGCATTTGTAACACCAAATGTGCTTCAGATTCTTGTTGACAAGTACAAGCTCACGCCTATTGGAGGGCCAGAGAGCGTGCAGCAGGAGATGAAGGAAATGCTCTCATAGGCTCATGATGTTTTGATGTGGCTGTTATTCTCATATCCATGGAACATTAATGGACGAAAATTCCACTTCTGGGATGTTTGTGCAATCAATGGCTTCTATGGCTTATATTCATGTAGACCTTCAGCAGAAGTCTGTTTGTGTGTTCCATGCCTAAACCAGTTTTCTGCTCATTTCCAGTAGTGTAGATTATGATCAATTCTAGGATGTGTGGTCATGCTACACATTGCAGATGTTCTGTGCTAGGAAAGTCAGGGCGGGCCATTCTCATTTCATTCTCGCTTGATACCCATCCCGACCAATTTGATTAATGATGAAACCGTTGCACAATGTAGAACATCTCATTTAGCTGCATCTGAACGATTAAAAAAATGGCCCGCCCTTATTTAGTATATTTTGTTGATCTTGTATGGGTGTGGAGAGCTAGAAAGCTGGCCTTTCGGATTGTGGTGGTCTGGCACAAGTAATTATGTGGGATAAAATTTTCTGTGCAACAAGGAAAATGGTATGGCGCCTCTCCAGAGTCCAGACCATGGCAATGTCTGGCTGGTCCCCACCCCGAGCCGGCCCACCCAGGTAGGCAAAGTGAACCCGCAGTTGTTTTTCGGGGCCTAGTTGTGGTGGTCTGGCACCAAGCCTGTCGATTCACGGACATTTGTCCGTTTTCCCTGAGAATTCAGGGTTAGTTTTAGCTCATCTCGGAGATTTTCAGGGTTGGGTTTTCCCCCAGCCCGGATTCCTAACGGACAGGTTTTGGGGCTCCCCCGGATTCCCGTAAGAACCACCCCCCTTCCCCTCTCCCCCTTTCTTCCCGACCTTAGACCGCGAACTTGTCCCTCTCCCACTTCCCCCAACAACACCAGCCCCCCACGTTCCCCTAGCGTACTCTGCTCTTTAGTGTATGTCTAGCTTGAATAACTTAGCTATATTACGCATGCATTCTCAGAGCGGGAAATATGAATGCCCTGAAATTACGTCCGCTTCCCGGATAGCTCAGGGCTGTTTTCGAGGCAGCTCAGCTTCGTACGGGTTGGGCCCAGACCAATCGACAGCCCTGTCTGGCACAGGTAATTATGTGGGATGAAGTTTTCTGCGCACGAGAATGGGATGGGACTAGCGCCTCTCCGACCAGACCATGGCATGATGGCAATGTCAGGCTGGCCGCCACCCTGAGCCGGCCAACCCACATTGGCAAAGCGAACCCGCAGTTGTTTTTCGGGGCCTACATTCGCGAAACTGTTTGCAAGTGTACTTTTTTCGTGGGGACTGTTCGGGTCGGATCTGTGGAGGAAAGGTGTGCAGCGGTGGAGAGGTTTGTCCGCCTGTCCCTCAAATCGGCCAAAAGTGGAACCATCGCTTTAGCCTTTCAGCATCGTAAGAGGCATTGACTCAATCCACCATTGAGCAGATGTCACGTGCGAGATGCATGCGCTGTCCGCCAGCAGCGTAGATCTGGGACGGGACACAGGCCAGCACGTCTCCGTGTCATCCACCACGTCATGACTTTCGAGCAGTAATTTTGGGGTTTGGGGGGAAGTTGGAAGTCGGAAGGAAGTTGGGTGCGTGGGGGCACACGCGCGGGGAAACCAACAAGTGTGGGAACCAACTTAACGAAAATATCCTACGTAGATGCACACGCAGTTGGTAGGATATTCAGGTCGTGTCCGTAGGGATGACATGTCAAAGTGGGAGAACAATTTGGCATTTTGACACTCTAGCTAACAATTTTGGCAGAGTGTCAAGATCTTGCATGTTGGCAGCCAATAAAAATCGTCGGACCTTTTTTATTTTTGCACAATCATACCTACAGACGAGATAAAATTGTCGCAGCTGCCTATCTCACGACCAGATTCTGCCCAATCAGCAAACACCGCCTCCTTTGTCGTTTGAATTGTTCGCAGCCTAGGAGATAAACAAATGACAAATTCTCTAACCAATGAAGTTCCGTCGCTGATGTTCGTACATGCGCTTCGACTTGACACTTCAGCTACAGTATTAGACACTCCAATTTGAGCGCGCTTCGGTTTGACGCGCCCATTGTTGACATGTCATACCTACGGACACGAACTCATCATGTCTGGAGTGGTCGCGTCCCCGGTGTCGGTCCAGTGAGCTGGACGTTGTAAAGTGTTTACCCGCAGGTCGTCGCTTGGCTCAAGCAAGGGACAACATCACCGCCTTCCCTTGACCCCTGACAGACTTTTGGGACCAGTCGACATTCTCCAGCGCAGCACTTCAGGGATGGATCTGTCTGTCATTTGTACCTCTCGTTAGCGCAGTGAACCGTTCTGAAAAATATCACAACATCCAGCATGTTTGTAATTGCCTCAAGATTGTAGAACCGAGAAGTAAAGCTCCCTAACCGCGCATAGCGCGGTTCGGGCTTATGAGATGGTTTTGACTACAAATTCTTCAACATCAACTTTTGGCACATCACCCTCTTCGAGCCTCGCTTGACACTTTGCTGCTCTTCTCCGTCATTCCAAGCCCACAATTTCTGCTATACACTTCAGCCGTCTCTTGCAGCACAAGAATATGGCATGTGCACATCGCCTCGGTCAGGTACGTCGTTCGTTATCTTGGTGAACGCAACCTTGTTCCCCTCCATTCTTGATCGCAGTTCTTCAACCTGTGCAAAAAGGCTGACCAACAAAGTGTCTACTCCTAACAGGTAGCATGCAAGGCTAGCGACTTCTTCCCAAGGAATCTGGTGTCGCCGTCTTCTAGCGCTAAAAGCGCGGTTTTAAATGGACGAAGACGTGTTCGCCGCGTGGTAGCTCAAGCAAGCAACAGCGGCTCGAAGTCCCGGAGCGGAGTTAAGGCTAATGTAGCTATGCCAGCGATGGAGACTCGCACGTCGCCCGACCAGCACGACATGTTCTGCTTCCAATGCGAGCAAACCAAGGTATGGTATTGCCTGTCGCAAAGTGTAAATAAATAGACAACAGCAACATGAATTTTGTCCTATGAATGACGAAATTGACGAAAGGGGATGTGCTCATCACTTCAAACGACGGTGCTATGTTCTGGATCTGTCACAGGATGGCAAGGGTTGCATGTCCGTCGGTGTGTGCGGCAAGGACCCTGAAACAGCAGCCCTGCAAGACCTTCTCATTCATGCATTGAAAGGTGAGAACCCCGATGGATAAGGAACAGCTTGAAAGGCATCAGAAAATGTATAGGTCACAACGTGAGTTTCTTGTTGTAGTCATCGTTCAGTGTGGCGGAGGTGCCTGACTTTGCTTCCTTGTGGCGTACGCTGTCTCGTGCTCAGGAGTGGCGCGTTTCGCCGTGCGGATTCGCGCGTTGGGGAAACCGGTTGGCGCCGACACTGACTTGTAGGTCTCATCGCACTACTTCAGTCATACGTCACGGTGCCGCTGGTGCGCGTTTGCTTTTTCCTCCCCTAGCCATATTTACAGTCAGCTGTCATGCCGACATCATTAACGACCGTATAATCTCTTGTTTCGCCGTCACTCCCTTACCTGCAGCTTCGTGCAGGACGCCATCTTCGCGACGCTCACCAACGTCAATTTCGACGCGGAGGCCATTCAGAAATACACCATGGAGGCCGTCCGCGTCCGCGACGACCTCAGGTATTATCAATGCCGCATGTCCTCCGCCCACCCGCGGCCTTGTAAAGTTTTCCCTCCAGGCCTCCCTTGCATGGCGCGTATCCTCCCACGCTGGTTTCAATGTTATGCCATCGCGATCCTTCAACCGATCTCCGTGGCCTATGCTCCTCCGTTTTGGGCCAATTGAACCCAAAGCTCCCACTCGTCTTCCCCGTGTGTTTTCCGTCCGCTCCACATACAGGACCAAGCTTGCCCAGGCAGGCGGCGACCTGTCGGACCCCGCGCTGGCGTCGCACGAAGCGACGTTCCAGCCCGCACTGGCGCTGCCGGACCTGGTGGAGCAGGGCCATGCGGTGGGCGTGGAGGCGAGGGCAGCGGGGTGGGACAAGGACATCTTCAGCCTGCAGGAGCTGCTCACGTACGGCGTCAAGGGCACGGCGGCTTACTCCGCGCACGCCTTCGCCGTCGGACAGGTGCGGTGTCATTCTCTGAGCCCCTGAAGTCTGCGTGACTACCTGTCGAAGCACGGTAGCATGATTTACCTTCTCAAGTTCTTCGTCTTTCCTTATCTTCCACTTTCACGCAAGACGTTCTCATCGCTCCGCACTAATCCGTCCTATTTTCGTCGTTGTTGACCGCGCTCTCGTTTCCCCCCACAGCACGACCCGCTGATCGCGGACTTCATCTACGAGGCCTTCGACTACATCTCGCGGCCCGCGAACGAGCAGACGGCGGACGCGCTCCTGGCGATGTGCTTGAAGTGCGGCGAGGTGAACCTGCGCGCCATGGAGATCCTCAACACCGGCCACAAGGGCAGCTTCGGCACGCCCGAGCCGTCGGTGGTGCGCACGTCGGCCGTGGCGGGCAAGTGCATCCTGGTGTCGGGTCACGACATCAAGGACTTGTACGAGCTGCTCAAGGCGACAGAGGGCACGGGGGTCAACGTGTACACGCACGGCGAGCTGCTGCCCGCGCACGGGTACCCCGAGCTGAAGCGGTTCAAGCACCTGATTGGCAACTACGGTGGCGCGTGGCAGCTGCAGAAGCTGGAGTTTGCCATGTTCCCCGGACCCATCGTGGTGACCACCAACTGCCTGCTGGAGCCTAAACCCAGCTATGCCGACCGCATCTACGCGCTCAATGCCGTGGGGTGAGTTGGGGCGGACCTCAACCAGTCACCGGCTCTGCTTTTGAACCGTTGCAGCAGCATCTACACTGTGCTCGCGAGCTCAGCCGGCTGGTTCACACGCAACATTTTGACATGTGGAAGCGTTCTCAATCGGTCTCTGCACATTCGTCCCCATCTGCCCCCGCCCCCAGGCACAAGAAGGTACAGCACGTGGAGGAGCGGCGGTTCGACCCCATCATCAAGCAGGCGCTGGCCATGGAGGGCTTCACGCACGATGAGCCGATGCGCAGCACCATGACAGGGTTCGGGCACGACGCCGTGCTGCAGGCCGCCGGTACCGTGGTGGAGGGCATCAAGGACGGCCGCATCAACCACATCTTCCTCATCGGTGGCTGCGATGGGCTGGAGGGCGAGCGCTCCTACTACAAGAACCTGGCACTGTCGCTCCCACAGGTGAACCTCGCGGTGTTTCGTTTCCTTTAATAAGAGCCGCACTGTGGGATATGGTGACGATCGGGCTAAGGGCGGGTCCGAAGTGAAGTCGACATCCGTTGACATCCGATGTCGGCAAATCCTGACGGTTGGAACTCTCGATCCAAGGGTTGACATTTACTGACATCCATCGACATCCATTCGACGCTTCACTTCGGACACGCTCTAAGCTTGTTCTCGCGTATCTTGCCTCGCAGGAGACAGTGGTGTTGACGCTAGGATGCGGCAAGTATCGGTTCATCCACCAGCAGCAGCAGTTTGGCAACATCACAGGCACAGAGATCCCTCGCCTGCTGGACGTGGGCCAGTGCAACGATGCATACTCCGCCATCCGCATCGCTTCTGCGTTGGCCGAGGCATTCGACACCGATGTGAACAGTCTGCCCCTCTCGTTGGTCATCTCGTGGTTCGAGCAGAAGGCTGTAGCTGTAAGTCACTTGGTCTCCGGCTTATACCTGCTGAACCCATTGCCTGCTGTGTCGGGAGGATATTTTGTGATGTCAACCTTAATTGGCTCTTTTCTTGTACACGCAGGTCCTCCTCACACTTCTTCATCTGGGCATCAAGAACATCCGCATTGGTCCATCGCTGCCAGCCTTTGTCTCACCTAATGTGCTCCAGATTCTAGTGGATAACTATAACCTCATGCCTATTGGGGGTCCAGAGGACGTTCCCAAGGACATGCAGGCTATGCTTGGCAACGCATAGGCCATGAAGCATATATTAAAAAAAAAAGAGTACATGTCATCTAGTTATAATATTGCTGCTATTAAATGATAAGGAGAAACAGGGGAGACAAAAAATTCCAGAAGAATGGGTAAGGGATGAAGGGAGAGGAGACGTGGACGTGAGTGGGAAGTAAGCACATGCTCAGATTTGTTTTAGGCTAGTCTAAAAGATCATAGCTGTTACAAAATTTTATGCTGAAAATCTGCCACACCATATACATGTTGGAAACAACTAATTATAAGCGCCTCTGTCGTGTCGAAACACCAAGGCACAAGCGAAGCACAACATATCGCAGCATCAGCGAGTCAACCCTCGGAGGTTGAGCAACTGCTGGAGGTTACGCGAAAGTCAAAGGTCAGCGACCTTTGACCTGACAAGTACAGCGCGACAGCAAGGACACACAACTGACTCGCTACAGAGCAGTTGCCCGAGTCGTCACTGTATCGAACCGCAACCGCAACAGTAAAGTAGTTATAACTGTATCTCTTCGTATTCCTTGTACTCTTATATAATCATGTATCTCCTTGCTTTAATCAATCAACTTTGCCCTCACACCAGGGCTGACGTTTCAAAAAAACCCACTCTGAGGCAGGGGAGAAAAAGATTTCGTTTAGTCTGAGGGTCATTTCCCAAGTTCTGAGTACTCTGAAATGTCAGGTTTGAAAAAATCATTAGTCTGAAAAGTTTTAAGTTTGTAAAACCGCATCCGAGTTGGTGAATAGCGAATATCTGTCAAGCGACTTTGGCCTAGGGAAAACGTTGCGGAGTTGGCGAGAAGCAGGAGTAAGAGGGGGCGGGGGAAGGGGGAGGGGGGAGGGGGGCAGGGGGGGAATTGAATGTAATTCGAGAGAGGGGGAGGGGGGAGGACTGAAATTCGGCAAATTCAGGGGCCATACTCCCTGTAGTCTCGAGTCTCAGTATCGCACAATGAAGTACTCTGAAATTTTCAGAGTTGAAAAACTAACAGGTCTGAGGCCTTCAGAGTTCAGAATACAGGAATACTGAAATTTCAGGAAAGGCGAAAAAAAGAGTCTGAGATTTCAGACAATCAGACTAAAATAGTCTGATAAAATCAGCCCTGATCCAAATACACTCGTTCGTCGAGAATATCTTCCAGTTACGCTGAGGAAATGGTTGCGTGATTACGAGATTTCTGAAGACAAAATCTCGTCACATGTAAGTTATCGCTAGTGTATTGTAAAGAATAGGCGACTTTGATGCTGATTCGCTGTAAAAACATCTGCAGCACGCACTGGTGTGAATTGCGAAGTTCCTGATTCGTACTGAAAGTTTCGTGTGGCACTGTCTGATCCTCACATGCCACGCCAAGCAACAGTTTCTGCCTGCTGCCAGCTCAGCTGCGTGGCACTTGGCCCACCTGATACAGATCGGGTGAACGATCGAATCGCTTGAAAAGCAAATCCAAAACTGACAAAATCGGCACACATGCGAGAAAATGGGTACAGAACGGTAATCACACACACGACAAAACGAAATGAGATCAGCAGAGCAGAAACAACCATGCGCTGCACGTGACAAAAACACTAGAACGGCGCCGACATGAGCAGAGGCGATGCACGAGCACGAGCACGTTGCCTGATGCGTTGGTATGGTAGGCTGTAATCAGCCTCAATGCTATTATAACTGCTTTTACGAAACTGCATGAACATCTTAAAATTTGAAGTAACTCTGACAGTTCAGACAAAAAAATTTGTGCTTGTCTGAATTTTCAGACTAAAATTTTGAGGCACCTCTGACAGACAGAGTTCCAGGAGGGGTGTACTCTGAGGCCTCAGACTACCTCAAAACGAATCTAGGGGCCTGCTGCAAAGATCCTAAGGGCTTTTCTCAGCCCAACATGGTATGAGCGCTATCAGGGGGAATTCAACTATCAAAACACCTACAACATCATAAGACATGGCTACTCAGAAGGAAAGGAGTTCCTCCATTGGTTCTCCCAGCACTACTCCTACTCCACCTCCTGCCTCTGGCCTACAGACAGAGGAGGGTACGGCAACAAGACCCAGGGCAACATCCACCGAGACCCCTGCGAATCAACCTGCAGGCTTCGACCAGATCATGATGGAGAAGTTTTTCTCCTTCATGTCCTTCTACGAGCAACACCAGCAATCGGTACCTGCGCAGTCACACAACAGCAACAACAACAACGACGTGACTCCAATGAGCCTTGACGGTTCATCCTACGCACGTGGAAATCAACAGCAGCAACCTACCTTTGCTCCGTACGAGCCCCAGCACGGCTCCGTCAGCTTTATGCCACAACCGCAGCCTGCACCTGGACAGGAGAAACCACTGGACGCACTTCAAGTTCAGTCGCAGTTCGCGCACGTTTTAAAACTTGAGACGTCAAGGCCTTTCGACGGAAAGGACTTCTTCACCTGGTCGTTCGAGTTCGAGTTAATGATGGAAGGCGCGCAGATTCTTGGCTTCTTCGACGGATCCTTGCCATACCCAACAAACGGCACACAGTACGAGAAGCAGCAGTACACCTATCAGTCAATGATGGCGTATACGATTCTACTTAGGAACATCACCCCAAACCAGCAGCAGAATATACGGTCTTACCGGGGATACGGCAACTCCGCCGAACTCGCATACAGCCACTTGAAGAACCTGTACCAAGCAACAGACAGCGTTAATCAGAGTCGGCTAATGGCGCAGTTGACAACAGTGGAAATGAAACCAGGCGAAAAGGGTATAGCGTATATCAGCCGCTGTCGCGAGTTGCGCGACAAAGTCCTTCGATGCGGAGGGTCGATATCTGAAGACGCCTTCGTGACAGTCATCATCGGTGGCCTCGGCCCCCAATGGCGCGCCACAAAGGCCATTCTCCGAGCTCATGGGAGAATCTCCGAGGCAGCACTCTGCGCCGAAATACATGCCGAGCAACAAGTGTCAGACTTATATGACTTAGCCTATATAGGCTATAGTGGGGTAGCACATATGGGGTACAACACATTTCTAGGGTTTGTACTTGTACCCAACTTTTCCCTTAGTCATTTCATTCCTCATTTCTCACATGGTATAGAGCAGGTTCCCTAGTGGGAACTTCCTAGGGCCCACCACTGAAATTTTTTCCGGCCCTAAGATCGAGTCGCCCCTGACCGAGGCGCGCCCTGTGTGCCGCCCTCCCCTTAGCGACCCGTCGCGCCGCCCTTGGCGGCCCACCCTCTCTCACGGCCCCTCGCGACCCCGTCGCCGCCCCCTAGCGGCCCGTCGCGCAGCCCTAAACGGCCGTCGCGTCGCCCTCAGCGGCCCCTTGCGGCCCCACCTCTCGCGGCCCTGTCGCCGCCCTCTCGCGGCCCCGTCGCCGCCGTTCGCGGCCCCGCCGCCGCCCTTAGCGGCTGCGTCGCCGCCCGTCGCGGCCCTGCAGCCGCTCCTCGCGGCCTCGTCGCCGCCCTCTCGCGGCCGCGTCGCCGCCCTCTAGCGGCCCCAGTGCCGCCCTCTTGCCGCCTCGTCGCCGCCCACTCGCGGCCGCGTCGCCGCCCTCTCGTGCGGCCGCGTCGCCGCCCTCTCGTGCGGCCCAGTCGCCGCCCTCTTGTGGCCCCGTCGCCGTCCCGGCCCCTTCACCGCCGAGCCGCCGAGCAGCTGAGCCACCGAGCCGCCGAGCAGCCGAGCCGCCGAGTCGCCTGCGGCCGAGCCGCCGAGCAGCCGAGCCGCCGAGCCGCCGAGTCGCCTGCAGCCGAGCCGCCGAGCCGCCGAGCAGCCGAGCCGCCGAGGCCGCCGTCGAGCCGCCACTGCCTCTGTCGAGCCGCTGCCACCGCAATTTCAGCCCTGTTTCTACCGGCGCGCCCCGGCCCTACCCACCCGGACTGGTGAGAGCACTCCCTGCTAGACCACTGCTGTCATGACTACCCCCAGTGTCCTTACCTTTGATGCTGAGGGTCGTGCTGTTGACTTCGAGGTCTGGGTCGATGACCTGCAGCTTTTCTTATAGTGCGATAGGGCAGACGGACTCTCCCTGTTCGATCTCACCTCTGGTGCCTCTCCTGCCCCGCCTACTGGTGCTGACAGCACTGTTCGCTCACAGTGGGCCACACGCGATGCTGCTGCCCGTCTTGCTGTGCGTCGCCACTTACCGACCGCTGAGCGTGCGCACTTTAGTCAGTACAAGAGTGCTAAGACCTTGTACGACGCTGTAGTTGCACGCTACTCTTCCCCTGCCACTGCTGCTCTTAGCCGCCTCATACTGCCGTACCTCTTCCCTGACCTTGCTGCCTTTCGCACAGTCGCTGACCTCATTACGCACCTTCGCACTAGTGACACTCGCTACCGCGCTGCGCTTCCTGCTGAGTTCTGCGCCAAGAACCCTCCCCCCATGTACATCACCCTCTACTACATAGTCACCCGGCTCCCTGACTCCCTTCGCTTAGTCAGGGACCACTTCCTCTCAGTTTGCCCCACCACACTCACCGTTGACCTCCTCGAGGAGCGCCTCCTGGCAGCAGAGAAGAGCATAGTCGCTGTAGGAGCCTCTAGAGGTGACCCGCGTGCCCCTGTCTTTGAGGGGTGCTCCCCCTCCCCCCTTTTGCCCTCTGTTGCCTCTGCTGCTGCCGTCGACTTCGTTGGCACCGAGTCGGTCGGCGCTGCGTCTGCCCCTAGCGGGCGACGCCGCACCGGCAAGGGCAAGGGGGGCAAGGGCGCTGGAGGGGCTGGCGGGGGCGGTGGAGGTGGAGGTGGAGGAGGCGGAGGGAGTGGGGGTGGTGGTGGGAGTGGTGGCGGGGGTGGGGGCTTCGGTGGCGACAGTGGCGGCGGAGGCGGCGATGGCGGTGGCGGTGGGAGCGGAGGAGGAGGCAGTGGCGGCGGTGGCGGAGGTGGCGGCGGAGGAGGTGGAGCTAGTCGGGATGGCTCTGCGCAGCGGAGCGGCTCAGGTGGTGGTCAGCGCCAGCAGCAGCAGCGCACTCGTGAGACCCCGTTCCCCCAGCAGCTTCATGCGTGGTACACTGCGCGTCAGCGAG